TGTTCTCCAAAGCTTGGGTCAGCCCAAGGTAACAGCTACTAGCATATACCATCACTCCTTACCTGCCTGAAGTAGACTATTGCAACTACTGTGAGTTTTGGAGGGGGGGTGAGGTGAGGGTTTACCAAGGCATCTTTTTTATTAGGTTAACATACATAACATAAAATTTACAATTGTAATCATTTTTTCAAGTGTACAATTCAGTGGCAATAAGTGCACTGCCAATGTTCTACAACAAGACCAGAACTTTTTCATCAGCCCAAATGGAAACCAGATACCTGTTAAGCAGTCACTACCATTCATTCTACCCTGCCTCAAGCCCCGGCAACCACTAATCTGCTTTCTGTCCCTATTGACTTGCCAATTCTGACTATTTCATGTCAATGAACTCATACATCATGTAGCCTTTTTGTGGTTTTCTTTCACTTAGCATTAAATTTTTCAGGTTTATCCATGCTATAGTATCCATCAGTACTTCCTTTCTTTTTTATTACCTGAATAATACTCCATTGTACAGAGATACCACATTTTGTTTAGTCGTTGATCTTTTGCATGGACATGGACATTTATTTGGGTTGCTTCCACCTTTTCTAAATGGTTTCTTTAAATGTGACACCAAAAGCACAAGCAACGAAAGAAAAAAAGATAAATAGACTTCATCATTTGTGAGTAGAGCTGCTATGAACATTCATGTACAAGTTTTTGTTTGCACAACCTGTTTACAATCTGGGTGCATACAAATACCTAGGAGGGGGTATTTTTTCTGGGTCACACAGTAATTCAATGTTTAAATTTGAGAAAGCACCAACTTTTCCACAGCGGCTATACTATTTCACATTCCACCATTAGGTGTATGGGGGTTCCAATTTCTCCATATCCTCACCAATATTTGTTATTTTCTGTTTCTTTATTATGGCCTCCCTAGTGGATAGGTGTGAAGTGGTATCTCATGGTGGTTTTAGTGCGCACTTTCCTAATGACTAATTGGATGTGGGCATCTTTTCATGTGCTTTTTGGTCATTTGTTCGTCTTCTTTAAAGAAATGTCTATTCAAGCCCTTGGGCTACTTTAAATTGCCAGCTGTCTTTTTGCTGTCGAGTTCTAAGATTTCTTTACCTCTATCCTGGGTATAAACCCTTATCAGATATCATGATTTGCAAAATATTTCTCTCATTCTGTGTGGTTGTGTTTTTCACTGTCTTTACAGATGTCTTTTGAGACACAAACACTTTTAATTTTGAAGTCTAACTTATCTTTTTTTGTTGCTGGTTGCTGTGCTTTTGGTATCATATTTAAGAGACCATTGCCAAATCCAAGGTCATGAAGAACTGTCCCTATGTTTTCTTCCAGAGTTTTTAGTTTTACCTCTTATGTTTAGTTTCTTGGTTCCATTTGACAATTAATTTGTACACAGTATGATTGGTAAGGGTCCATGTAAACTATTATTCTTTTAGTCAGGTGAAGGACTGTCCAATTTCTGTTCTCCTGGAAAGCAGGCCACCCTTCGCATAGGGGGAATTCCTCACCGAGTCCATGTACCTCTAGTTGGGTGTCTTGCTATGATACAATCCCTACTTCTAAGACCACAGGGTGGATACATAATCAAAACTGGAGCCAATCAGGTTTCCCCTGAAATCAAATTGCTGATGCTGGGGAGAGAAACAATCTCTCTGCTATAGTTTTTTAGACATAAAACATATGAACTGCAGCTCCGCGTAACCATTTTTCCTGCCACACAGAGCAATTCTATAGGAAAAGCAACAAACAGCTGAATCATGAAATGGAGCTAGAGCCCTCAAGACACTGTGGAACCTTAGACCCAGTCAAAGATAAAGTCAAACAGATCATCAGAACTCAAAAACAATGAAATTAAAGCACCTAATGACCTTCTGGATCCATCTATGCCTGAAGCCAGATTTGCTTGTCCCTGTATTTCCCAGTTACAACAGCCAATAAATTTCTCTTCTTACCGGGCTCATCTGAGTTGAAATTCTTGCCACCTGATATAAGTTAAGAGAATTTGGTGTTAAATCTGTCTTAAGAAACATTGAAATTCCATATATTTCTTAGGGCAAGGTTTGGTTGTAAAATTCCAAGCAGTCAATGCAAATAGGGAAATACAATCAATTACTAAATTCAGTATCTATAAACTAGAATTTCTTCCACAGACGATCACAAAGAAGATACTGGTGCTTGATTCTATGTGGCAGGAATATGGGCGATTATTCCTCTATGTATTTTCAACTTTCATGTTTCCAAAAATATCAATGAATAGAAAGGCCTTTGTGAGTGGGGCAGGGAGAGGCAAGAGGCATTGTGTTAATGTGGTAACAGTGTCCTGAATACCTTCTCTAAGGAAGTGGGTTCTCAGAAAATGATTGGACAACCACTAACGAACCCCAAGACTACAGGGCACCCACAAGTCCAAAACTATTTTCAGAATAATTACTAAGATATTGTTTTGCCATTCGCATCAGCTCACGAATGCATAGCGTTTTCCTTCCAGAGGGCTAAACGGCAATGTGCTTATCATAACAGACTGAATGAAAAAGCAAATATCAGAATCTAGCTACCTTCTAAGAAGGCCAGAAATCAAAAAAGATTTGCAAAAATGTAGAACAGTTGCTCTCTTCCACTAATGTTTTCATTAATAATTATTTTTCATTAGAAAGTTACTTATCTTAAAATTAAGTGAGTTCAATGAATCAACATAAACATTTCTCAAATTTAATCTCTAATATAGTAAAACAGGCAAACATATTTAAGTTGTATTAAAAAACCTCTTTGGGGTCCTTGCTGTGAGAGTGGCCACTGCGTTGGCGCTCTGGGGCTTGGACCCTGGCTATAAAAAAAAAAACAAAAAAAAACAAAAAAAAAACAAAAAAAAACCTCTTTGGGGTCCTCAATAATTTAAGAGTGTAATGGGTCCTGAGATCAACATTGACAACTTGGCCCTAGGTTACATTCACTTGTCAATTTCACTTCACATCCAAGATGGCAAAATTCTGAACAGTGAAGAAAAGCAGTAATTAAGTTTTGGAAAGTGATAAAAATGTTCTAAAATTGATTGTGGCGATTGGTTCACAACTCTTGAATATACTAGTCACTTAATTGTACACTTTAAATGGGTAAATTATGTTATGTAAATTTTATCTCAATAAAGCTCCCTTTAACAAATTATCACCAATAAAATTCGTAAGAAAAAAGAGTTTATCCCGATGACCATTATCAAATAATTATCAAATAATTATCAGAATATATGACAAAATGGTCAACATGTCTAGTCATTAGGGAAAAACAAATTAAAACCACAATGAGGCCAGGCGCGGTGGCTCATGCCTGTAATCCTAGCACTCGGGGAGGCCGAGGTGGGCGGATTGCTCGAGGTCCAGAGTTCGAAACCAGCCTGACCAAGAGCGAGACCCCGTCTCTACTATAAATAGAAAGAAATTAATTGGCCAACTAATATATATAGAAAAAAATTAGCCGGGCATGGTGGCACATGCCTGTAGTCTCAGCTATTCGGGAGGCTGAGGCAGGAGGATGGCTTGAGCCCAGGAGTTTGAGGTTGCTGTGAGCTAGGCTGACGCCACAGCACTCACTCTAGCCTGGGCAACAAAGCGAGACTCTGTCTCAAAAAAAAAAAAAACAACAATGAGATATCCCCTCATGCCTGTTTGAATGGCTCCTATCAAAAACACAAATGGTAAGTGTTGGGGAGAATGTGGAGAAAAGGGAATCTTAGTACCACTGTTGGTGGGAATGTAAATTAATACAGCCATTTTGGAAAACAGTATGGTAAGCTGGGTTCAGCGCAGTAGTTCATGCCTGTAATCCCAGTGTCTCAGAAGGCTAAGGCAGGAGGATTGCTTGAGGCCAGGAGTTCAAGACCAAACTTGGGGAACAAAGCAAGGCCCTGTCTCTTAAAAGTAATTTTAAAAATTAGCCAGACATAGTAGTGTGTGCCTATAGTCCCAGCTACTCAGGAATCTGAGGCAGGAGGATTGGTTGGGCCCAGGAGTTCAGGCTACAGTAAGCTATGATCAAGCCATTTCACTTCAGCCTGAGTGACAGAGCAAGACTCTGTCTCAAATAAAAAAGAAAAGAAAAAAGAACCAACAACTAAAAGTAGAATAACACATGATCCAGCAATACCATTTCTGGATATATATCCAAAGAATGGAAATTGGTATGTCAAAGAGATAACTGCACTCCCATGTTCATTTCAACATTATTCTCAACAGCCAAGATATGGAAACAACCTAAGTGTCTATTAATAAATGAATGAAGAAAATGTGGTATATGTGCACAAGGGAATACTATACATCCTTTAAAAAGAAGGAAATCCTGTCATTTGCAACAACATGGATGAAAGTGGAGGAAACTATGCTAAAGGAAAGAGGCCAGCCAAAGAAAGACAATACTATTAATATATGATCTCACTTATATGGGGAAGCTTAAAAAGTTAATTTCATAGAAACAGAGAGTAGAAAAGTTGATACCAGAGACTGGAGGGAAGGGATGGTAAAAGAGAGGATGTTGATCAAAGAATACAAAGTTTCAGTTAGACTGGAGGAATAAGTTTTAGTGATCTACTACACTGTATGGGGACCACAATAATAATGTAGTTTATATTTCAAAATTGCTATAATAAATTTTTAATGTTCGTACCACAAAAAAATGATAAATTGATGAGGTAATGGATATGTTAATTATCTTTATTAAATTTTTCTACAATGTATACATACATCAAAATGTCACATTGCATATCATAAATATATACAATTATTATTTGTCAATTAAAAATAAAAAATTTAAAATAAAATCAGTATCAACTCATAAAAAATAAAAATTAAAAATAAAATTCCTATCAGAAATAAAAGTCCTACAAATATGTTATCAATAAATAATGCTATGAAATCAGAAACAAAAAATTACCCAACAACAAATGTGTAGGGAAAAACTGAAGTACAATCTATACAAGAATAAAAATAATTTACCTTCCAAGAGTTTTTGACATGATGTATTCATCTCTTAATTCCTTAGGATAAATTGACTGATCATCTACAGTCAGATCAAAAAATACAAAAACTAAGGGAAAAAGGGCAGAAATAGAGTTCATTAACTTATTGAAAAAAGAGAACATAATTGATTCTAAATTTAATATTCATATGCATAGAAGACAGTTGTTTTTAATTACATTTAATTAATTTACAGCTCTGTCACTCAGAGTTGTTTTAATTATATTTAACATGAAACATTTACAATATGTGTTAGGTAGGCAGAGGCAGGAGGATTGTTTCAGATCAGGAGTTTGAGACCAACCTCAACAAGAGCAAGACTCCATCTCTACCAAATACAGAAAAAATTAGCTGGGAATGGTGGTGCACATTCCAGTTACTCGGGAGGCTGAGGCAGGAAGATGGCTTGAGCCCAGGAGATTGAGGTTGCTATGAGCTAGGCTGATGCCACAGCACTCTAGCCCAGGCGACAGAGAAAGACTGTCTCAAAAGTTTAAAAAATATTAAAAAAAAAAGTCATCTTTCAGTGGAACTACACAGCACTGCTAGATATAAAAATCCATAACTACTATTCATATTCCTCAACCTCGGAAATATTAATCAATTGCACTAATATACTCATGCTGAATACCAGAGGCCCAAAAATCAAAAAGCAATTAGTCTGAGGCCAAGCACAATGGCTCATGCCTGTAATCCTAGCACTCTGGGAAGCTGAGGCTCGAGGATTGCGTGAGGTCAGGAGTCCAAGACCAGCCTGGGCAAAAGCAAGACCCCCCTCTACAAAAAATAGAAAACTTAGCCAGGCATGATGGTGCACACCTGTAGTCCCAGCTATCAGGGAGGCTGAGGCAGGAGGATTCTTAAGCCCAGGTGTTTGAGGTTGCAGTGAGTTATGAGGATGCCACTGCACTCTAGCTAGAATGATAGAGCAAGACTGTCTCAAAGAAAAAAAAACAATTAGTGTGAGCCTAGAAAAAATGTTCTAGGCAAATAGATATCCCAATAAAAATTAGATCGTAAGTCACCATACTAGCATTATCTTCTCTCAGCCATTTATATCTTTATATATCTGGTTTTTCATAGTGCAAACTATCTTGAACCTATTTGTAAAATTAGATAAATAGCACTTTCTAAACAAATCCCCTTTTTATTTCTCAATTCATTTTTCAGGCTATATCTCAAAATACATATACATATATAGATACGTACATAAATAAATGGATAAATAAATAAAACTACTCTTTTAATAACTTAACTATCCACATAAGCCAGGCCTGCAACAAGTTATCAAATATTTCAATTCTACAAAGCTATCAATGATAAATTTGCAATTGCATATAATATCTTTTTTTTTTTTTTTTTTCTTTGAGACAGAGTCTAGCTTTGTTGCCCAGGCTAGAGTGAGTGCCGTGGCGTCAGCCTAGCTCACAGCAACCTCTGACTCCAGGCTGGCAAGCCAAATCCTTCTGTCTCAGCCTCCCCGAGGTATGTGGACTTACAGGCATGCGCCACCATGCCCGGCTAACTTTTTCTATATATATATAGTTGGGCCATTAATTTCTTTCTATTATAGTAGAGACGGGTCTCACTCTTGCTCAGGCTTGTTTCGAAATCTCTGACCTTGAGCGATCCACCCACCTCGGCCTCCCAGAGAGCTAGGATTATAGGCGTGAGCCACCGCGCCCGGCCTGCATATAATATCTTGAAAGAGTAAATTTGTGAAGACTCTTGAGTTTCTCAGATTTCAGATGACAGTTTTTGCTTTTGTTGTTGTTGTTAAAATGGGGTCATACTATATTGCCCAGGCTGCCACTGAACTCCTGAGCTCAAGTGATCTTCCCACCTAAGCCCCTCAAGTAGCTAGATTATAGGTATATAACATTGTGCCCAGGTAGGTGATAGGTTTTGGCCTTCCTAGATTAACCTAAAGATCCAGTCTGAGTCTCTGGTACAAATCTGAGTCATCAGAGTATACTTCATGCCAGGCTGGTACATATGATGCAGATACTTGTCCAGTCAGTGAGACTCGCTGGTCACCCAGGTACAACTGTCCCTCAATGCTTGCGGCTATTTATGAACCTATATGTTCCAGTGGCATTGGACAATCTGGGAATTTGAGGGGCCCTGGTGATACATTTTCTCCCAACTATTAAGGTCTACTTCAGGGACTGTAAACTCAATTGTCTGCACAAACCAGGAAGGTAATATATTATACCAAAGGTCAGGCTGGATTGAGAATGCGTGTCTTGAAAGAGAAAATATAACCCCATCTAAAGGAGGCAGCCTTGGCCAGGCGCGGTGGCTCATGCCTGTAATCCTAGCACTCTGGGAGGCTGAGGCAGGTGGATTGCTCGAGGTCAGGAGTTCGAAACCAGCCTGAGCCAAGAGTGAGACCGCCCCATCTCTACTATAAATGAAAAAAAATTAATTGGCCAACTAATATATATACGAAAAATTAGCCGAGCATCGGTGGCACATACCTGTAGTCCCAGCTACTCAGGAGGCTGAGGCAGTAGGATTGCTTGAGCCAGGAGTTTGAGGTTGCTGTGAGCTAGGCTGATGCCACGGTACTCACTCTAGCCTGGGCAACAAAGTGAGACCCTGTCTCAAAAAAATAAAATAAAATAAAGGAGGCAGCCTCTACTCGGTGCCTGAAGATCCCCCAAGTTGTGGATTGTAGGTCACTGTGGCAGGATATTCCAACTTTTCTAAGACATTAGGTGTTCATATTAATATATAAATATGCCTAATAAAATGTCAATAGGCCAAATTCAGCCCACAGAGTACCAGTCTAGATCTACTTCTAATCACTTTAACCTATACAAATCTTTGCCTCAAATTGGAAAGATCAAAAGATTTACTATACAACATCATGACCACAGTTAATGTATTAAATTCTTGAAAATTCAGTTGAGGACAGAGTTTAAAAAGGTGGTTTCCTTCCCACAACAAAAATGATGTGACAATAATCTTAAAAATTTATGTTGCCAGATTGGCCTCCACAATCCATTTAAAAACATCATTTCACATGGTAAATATATATAATTGTTTGTTTGTCAATTAGAAAAAATAAATTCATTTTAAAATTGTTACTCTAATAAAAAAAAGTTGCCCTTTGGGCAAACCCGATGAAGAAAAAGGCTGTCACATAGTATGTCAAGTACTGGCAGACCAGACATTTCCAGTTGCTTAGTTGCTTCCTCCACTACGTGCCCACAAATACGGCAAAACCTTGGACGCAGCTGCCCTAATCAGATAGAAAAAAAATAGGTCCGAAACAGAAAAAACTAAGTCACATCATAAGATTAGGTTTTTTTTTTAGGATGTCCAATAAAAACACAGTTCCAGAAGTCAGTCTGAAGACTCACTGCATTGAGAATCCTGTTGGGCGATTGAATTTTTTTTAAGATGGAGGTCTCACTATGTTGCCAGGCTGGCAGTCAGTGGCTATTCATAGCTATAGTTTAGCTGGCCCTCTAGAGCCATTGAACTCGCTGAATCAAGCAATCCTCCTGCCTCAGCCTCCCAAATAGCTGGGAACTAATAGGGTGTTCACCACAAAGCCCTAGCAGGCATGATTTTTTTAAATCCCAGAAATACAGGATCAGAATCTGTGGGAGAGGCACTTGTGCTAACTTATATTTTTAAAATATAAAGTAAGGATCGTGCCACTGCTCTCTATCCTGGTTGACCGGTAACGGCTCTGTCTCAAAAATAAATAAATAAAAGTAACCACATATACATTACATACCGACACATACACCCTTCCATATTTGACTCTCAGGTTTGAGAATTTCTATATTTTTCATTAAAGAAAGGAGTATTTACTTGGGGAGAGGAGGAAAATAAAAAACAAACAAAAAAAAAAAAAAAAGAAAGAGTAGTTCCTCTTGTCCAAGGATTTTAAAAATCATTGTGAGCTTACTTTTAACTCTGTAGGTTGTTTTTTGTTGGGTTATTCTTTCTAGACCATATCCTGAAATGACAGTTGATTCATTTAGGATTTGACTGTTCGCACAATAGTTTTGGAGTGGATGTTATAAAATGCTACCTGATGATGGACAATAAACATCTTCCACTTGTGCAGTCGATAATATGTGGTATTTAAGCGGAGGCTCTGGACATAAACACTCACAGCCTACATGCCTGGGTATATACATAGTTGCTCAATAAATGGCATGCAGAATGAGATGAATGAAAGGAATTAACGAAAGGAAAATGCATAGAAGTGGAGGAAGGAAGGCTGGAATTAATGGGCCTAAAAAACAACTCAGAGATATCTATGACTTGATGTGGGTGTCAAACTAAATTAATCAATGAACTACAACTTATTTTAACCAATATAATAATTCAATAGCAGATGCCTTTAAATAAAACAATAAACCTTAAAAAATCTGTCTTTTTCATAATTTAAAAATCAACTTTAGGACAGCAAAGTTTCAATCTTTAATGCCAACTACTTAATTATTACTTACTTAAACCACACCCTGTAAGGGAGGACAACATGAATTCTTCCTTTTTACTTAGGAAGGAAAAAAAATCGAGGTAACTATAAATTACCTTTATTCTGCATAGTTGAAAGTGCAATTTCAGAATTGTTACTCAAAGGACGGCGTTCCTTTCCTACAAGCTCGGTATTTACAAAGAGTTCCATTCCCACTGTGATTCTTCGATGTACGCAATGTAAGAGTTTTTAGGACCCATTTCCTAAAATAGAGCACCATTTTATTTCAAACTTGGGTAACAAAGGGATTTAAGGTGGAAGAATATCTAAGACAATGATAGATTACCAGATTCTCCCAGTATGTTTGAAGATATTATCTTAGCCTAAAATCCGAAATGTTTCTTGCTATAATGTTCGGTTATTTATCTGTTTTTTTTCATATGGTTCATCAAAGCAATATCACAGCTTCTGTCCCTCCCAAACCAGTAGCTATCATTATACACACTCGTTAAAACGAAAGCACAGTACCAGAGGGCTGTTGAATTTCATGTATCAAACATCTTTTAAATTTCTCATAAATCTATTTGTATGAAAATAGCCTAAGAGGCAATCAAAATTATAGATTT